TTGACCCAATTATGGAATGCCTAAGTGACATAATTTTGGAGCTGGATACATTCGGTGAGAAAATCCTACAAGGACACACCACTCTTATCCTGCAACTTCTGCAGGACAACTTCACATTGTGGACCTCTGACCCCGCTCCTCCCTCTCCTCTCTGTGGCACGCCACACGGGTGCACATTGGTGCTTCTTCTTTCTGTTGTCATAAGCTCATGAACATGGGTTAAACCAATACTAGGCTTGCTATGTATTGCGTATGTATTCGCAATTTTGAGTATCTTTATCATGTGTGACATGATACTTGTGCTGGAGATTGTGTATAAATTCTGGATCTTGTTCAACCACTGTTAGTTGAAGCATACCATACAATTTATAAGCCTCTTTCCCCAGTTATGCTTTTTCTGAATGCACTTTTGTTTGTGAATTTTTTCCTTGTTTTTACGAGGAATCATCCCCATCTTTGCGAGTTTTAGACTTATGGCTACAATACAAGCTTCAGTTAGTTTACACACAGCCACTCACAAACCATAAGTTTCTATCAAATTCCACGAGCCGAACAAGACATTGTTTAACCTCCGTTCATATTGTTAAACAAAGATTGAACTTGAGTTCCGTACATATATAAAAGAACGGACTTGAATGAGCTCTAATACGAGCTGATTCTGAACTGTTCATGAACAACTGAGAGTTCATTTGTGGCCTCAATTGTAACTCCCTCCTGGTTTAATGAACACAAACTGTAGCTATGTTTCATGCTAGAGTTATTCAATTAATTCTCTATCTTTCCTTAGATTAAGGTATTTGTCCCACATGCCACACCCATCCTACCTAACGAATGACCACTTCTTCTTGTGATGAACACTTTAAAAACTCTACCTCAAAGCATATGATATTTAGGATGTTAAAAGCAAAGCACAAACCCAACCAGATAAAACAGGGAGAAGCCCTTTTATATATTTGGATGGATAAATTACAATGTAACATTTTACATTGCACGTCTTGTGAACCTGGGTGAATTTCAAACAGAGATTGTTCCTTGCAAGTGAAGATCAACCCTGCTACGGGTCAATACTTCCCTCGCTCGTGCACTTCTATGTTGTAGACGTTGGTGTAGTGTCTCAGAGATCTGTGTTGAAGAATTCTGCATCCCATCTATGTATTAACAACGGGTCTTCCGCATAACAGATGTATATAGATGTAACGGCACTTTCCACCACGACCATTGCCAATCCGACCTGAGAATCAGATATATCAGACCAGTACAACAGAGAAGAAATCAAGTAATACCATCCTTTTGAGCTGATGTTGTTGATGCATTCTACTTCAAATTTCATATCATGCAAATTTCTGAATCATCGGTCCTTACCAAAGATAACCAATTACGGGCGAGTCACAAATGAAGGATTGTTGTGGAAGGGGGGACTTCTAGCTCCTTTATGCAAATAGTGTCCAGCCCACATCCCCAATCCAACTACAAGGAAAGATCAGGCCAAGATTTCTGAAGACAAACATTCTTAGTAGTTTACTTTCTCCCTTGGTTTGCGAGGGAGTTGGGTGTGTCATCTTAGGTTGTATTGTGTTCTTACTAAAAAAGGCGAAGTTCTTATTCCTAAAACCTTGAGACGTGAGAGAGAGCATGCATCTTTTAGATTGGGAATAGGGAATGTTGTAAGCAACTCTCTTAGGGCATGCCTAATTTGTTCTTGATGCGAGTTTTGAATTTTATTGTATATTTTTGTTTTCTGAATTATTTTCTTAGCTTACCAAGAAAAAAAAATCATAGGCAGGTCTAAAATTGGTAGATTTATTTTGGAAACCAACTTATTATAGGACATAAATGACCTCTAGAGTAAGTAAGGAAAACTAAAAATCATCCATCATTACCAAGATCATTCCCATCAACATGGCAGTAGACCCCACCATAATCACTCTGTCAGGATATTTAATCCTTGTCCAAACTCCAGCACATGTTCCAGTGATAAGCCCACCCAAAAGAGTACCCATCAGGAGGACAGCACCCGAACAATCGTAAGCAATGAGTGCTTCTACACCAGTTGACTGGAATAATTCCCAAGCATCTCTAGCTGAGTGATTAAAGTTTTTCCCATAAACTGCAATCTGAGGCACAAAAAGTTTGCTATATACTGTCACTGCATGTCTAATAAAACAAGTTGTAACAAAATGAATAGCAAGCGAAAAATAACTCAAGCACTGCATGTTTATAAGAAAAATCATCCTTCATTTTACAGAATTGTGTTGTATGTCTCAAGCACGGTGGTTGTAGATAATGAGTCCATCTTTTGATTAAGACAATGCCCATTTTTCAGTTCAATATTATATACGCTAATGAAACCTGATAGCTCTACAAAATAAATGGCTGTTTAGTGATTGGGTTCTGGGTATCAGACTTTCAAGTCAGCATTTTAGATCCATAGTTTTATCATGCATTTTGTTAGATTGATTAGTTTTCTTGACAGTTTTTCATATTATCCATGGCCTGAACTATTAATTTATGGAGGGTAAATCATCAGATTCATTATGAAATACAGGAACAAAGAAACATGGTCGGATAAAACAAAGAACGAAGCCAGTTATGAGCAATTTGTTTTTTAAATAAGAGAAAGGTAACCAATCTAGCATCAACAAAAATAACTGATTAGTTCCTCTCCTGAAACCAATTTACTGCTCATCTTAATGATGTTTATTTATTAATTAATTTTCCATTACATTCAAAACCATGGACCAATTTTACACTCATCATATCATTTAAGTAACATCTTAATCACAGAAACAAATGTGTTCTATGTTCATTTTGAAGGCAATAAGCATTCATGCCGCAATATCCATAGAGAAAAAGTCAAATCGTGGATAAGTACAATTAAAACTCCTCTATCAAAGTGACGGCCATTAAAAGAAATGTGAACCATCGGTGTAATAGAAGAATTGGGTATGCTTACGGAAAGAATTGAAATGTTAAATTTCTGTGAAGAAAGTGAACATCCAATTAAAACTGCATATGCAATGGAATATACATGGGAAGGTCAAAAAAGGGCTTAGATCAACAATTCTCTAACAGCCACACCAGCAGAAGTAGCTCCCCTCCCCCACTTTCTCTTTTGTTTCCCTTGTGTTCACTTGAAGTAATTATCACAATGCCATGTTCCACCAGCATTATTACTATAAATCACAGAGTATGAACCAGTAATGTTGAGCAAATAGTTTCTCACCCTCCGATTCTAAACATATTAATAATAATGCTCAAAAGTGAAAGGTCACTAGAATCTGATTAAGGAACCATAGCAAAAATTGCTACTAGTGAAAATTACAACAACGATAAAGAACTACCTGGACATAGGCATACTTGTTAAAAAACCGAACAAGAGTCTCCACCAGATGAAAAAGGAAATCAACACAGCATAGCAAACATTCGTTGCCGCAATCTTTGACCTGAATCCCCTTATCTAAACATAATGAATTTGACTAAATTTTAATCATGTAGATGCAACCACAACATGGATCAACTGTATAGTAAAGATAATGTTTGTCATGAAAACAAACAGCAGTTTATCTACCTCCCACCGCAATGTCCGAATAGCAGCTGTAAAGAGTGATCCATAACAGATGCTGCCAAAAGAGGTTGTCACAGCATACCGCAGAGACTTCATCAATGGGTTGGGAGGCATTGACACAGCTTGTCGGCCATCATGGATGAGAACAAGAAACACCATTCCAGAGACTATAACATGAACAGTATTACAAAGAACAGCACCCGTCCAAAACAAACTTACACAGAACACCTGGATGTACAAAAAACATCATTGGCTCTAGCACATTATGGCATGGTTTAATGGCTTACTAATTCCAACAAAAGATGTAATGAACAGAAAAACTTGCCAGCTCACCCCAAGAAGCCACCATCGTCCACCATCACCCAAGCTTGATGCTACAACACCAGCAGCTCCAAAGGACCATAGAAACTAGCCATAAAAGCATGACTAACATGAATGCACATGCTACTCTCATAACTTCAGGAAGATTCCATACCATCTTCACAGCCTTTTGCAGCACCAGCATGGTAAACGGAAGTCTGCAGATAAAATATACATTCAGGGAAAAAACTAAAAGCACTAGATTAACATATAAAACCAGACATTATCATAGGATCACAAACTGAAAAGTGTTCCTGAAAAAGACACAAAGTGCACACCTGTGAATATTGAAACGAGAGAGGGGGAAATGGACCAGTTTTCATCTCTGTTACACGTTCATATCAAAGGTATATATGCATTATACATACACACTCATACATACATACAAATATATATATACATATGCATGTATTCCATGAGAGTTGAGAATTCCAGAATGATTGTGGGATTGTTTCGGACAATGCCATAAAAGAACTAGGAGCCTCAACATCCCCCAGGGGAATGGGGGAAATTGAATTGAAAATTTCGAATTGTGTTCGAAAAACCCAATCACTCATCCAATAAAGGAAATTAAATAAACCAGCAGAAGCATACAGTAGTTCAATTCAAAAAAATTCAAAAATATTAGCCCAAAAACATGTGAGAGCACCAAAGAAGTTGCAATCTAAAAATTACAAGTTTTGTACAAGAATATTTAAAGCTTGTGGTTTTTTCTCACAAAACTGTAGATAAAGAAATGATGATGGCCCCATACCCTCAGAAGGGTTATGGGAGACAACCAAAACTCGCCGTGGTTATCAAAAGGTCATTCCTTACTCCATTCTTCACAACAGCAAGGGCATCCCTGTACTCCATTCCTAACTAAGGTCAGGAATGACGGGGATGAAAAAAATCAACTCCTTCCTCAGAACTCTATTCCGATAATCTCTTTCTTAAACTTAAAACGGACCTCATTGTTCTACTACTCACCATCAATCACATGTAAGTCTTATTTAAAAGCCTTCTTTGTGAAGACCTTTAAATCAACAAAGTGTAAAATTAGGATCATGGGAAGCCAATGCGCGTCTACAGACTTTAAGAGTATTTACTAGCAGTCAAAGAAGCAACAAATTGCCCGAACTCTGTAAGTTTGGTTGGGGGGAAGGAGGAAAAAACTACAGATATAAGCTTACTGATAAAAGCTGAAAGGCAACCAAAATGTTTGTAAAAACTAATTGAAAAATTAACACAACAACAACAAACAGGAAAAAAATAGGCAGACAGAAAAGAAGACCGAAATAAGAGTGCACCATCATCTATGGTAAGTTCCACACAATCCCACAACAATCACATCTGCTACAAAATGGATCTAGGGTCCAACAAATGGAACAATGTTTTTTTCATACGCAGACATACCTAATTTTTTGGCCTTAACATTTGTGTCGCTTTTGATAATTTCTAGTGCACAATATAAATATGACCTATTTCCATTTATGCTGAAGCATTTGTACTTAAAAATTCAAATTTTCCCAAGAAACATTTTATGACAAGGCTTAACTTTAAAAAAGCTACTCCCAGTTGATAAAAAAAGATTGATATCCCTAAAACTGGTCTCAGAAAAGGATTCCTTGTAGAAGAATTAGATATTTAAATATTTATCTCACGTGAAGCATGAAAACCTGGGGAGGGTGGACCGTTCTCATATACAGAGCCATATGTTAAACTTCAAAAACTGGGCCTCGGTTTGGCAACTTGTAAGTGGGACCATTTTCTTTTTTTAATCAGTTAAGTTCTAAATGATTGTTGCTAAGGATTTATAGTCCTAAAAGTCGACTTTCATTCAAACTATAAGCATTCAAGAAATAGGCCTAATTTCCAGAAGCTTGACTGCTTGAACACTCAAACTCTATGCCTGTTAAAAATATATATCATGCTTTCAATAGCAAGAAGTTAAAATAACCATAACAAAATTTACTTATTAATCCTAAGTTGAACTTCTAAACTTTTCACTTGTAAAAGTATGACAGTACACCTTATGTGACATGGTCACTCCAACCGTCACCAGACCACAAAGATAAACTCTGGTAGACAGACATTAAAAAAAGGCTCAAACATGTTACCTGTCTACGACCGATATGACGTACAAGAACTGCAAAGCAGCACCAACAGCAAACGCAACACCCCAGAAGAACTGCTCACTCCAAAAGCACAACACACTAATAACAGCGAGATAAGTGGTCAATATGTGCACAGAAACCTTCATCATCTGATTCGCTTTTGAACCAAGCAACAACAACCAAGTCCACCCAAGAAGTGACCCGACTCCACAGGCAACAGCATACAAGGGCCAATAATTCTCAGTTAATCCCGCTTGATTCTCAAGAAATCCAGTCGTGTACCTATCAATGTTAAGCCTGTCCTCTTCCTTAAATCTATTAAAACCCAGTGCCCCAAGAGTAAGACCTAGCACAATCAAATGCAACACAAATATACCTAGCCAGAACACATCCCGCCAATGGCGTGTAGCCTCTAGAGCCAAACCCGGAGACAGTGAATTACTACCAGCTGCACTTAGCCGGCTCCGCCCGACGTTCTACAGTTCAATACACATGGATGTGAGATAAACAAAAATCTTAGACGCTGGAATTAGTTAATAATGGATTGATTTAAGTGACTTTCTTTTGTTTCAATGAAAGACTCAGAGTAAACCTGATATTCTATAATTCAACATATAGGCAACTAGATTCAGAAAACAGTACCTAAACCTCTGTCTATATGTGTGCGTGCACACGTTACATATGTACGTATGTATATAGATTGATTAAATCTCTTCTTTTTTTTTTCTTTCTGTAACGAAATAATCAAGTTCAAAATTTAATTGCAATTCATGATGGATTAAACTAACGCAACTAATTCATATACTAACTAAGTAAGCATAACATTCTACAATTCAATCCACCACCAGACCGTTAGATACACAAATTTCTTTTACAAAAAACATGCTTATGCATGTGTGTGCGTCTATATATATACTTTTAAGCATAAATATATCGATTTTTTTTTAATTTTAGCGACTGAATTGAAGTGAAGATAGTGATTGATTTGTGTAACAATAGATTCAACGCTAACAAGGGCAACAAAATAACAACTTTCAACATATGCATATAATTGTGCATATGTCATATGATAAACATGGGCTATTGCATAAAAGCCATGATTGATGCGAAGTGAAGAGTAGTGGATGATGATAAGCTTCATATTACCGGTTGACCGGTGGCGACAGAACCAGAATCATCGGAGGAAGAAACGCTTTGAGAGTCGCTCATGGTATGATTGCAATTGATCGGACGGTGAGGATTGACTTGCAGAAGAAAATTAGCATCAGTCACAGAGAGAGAGAGAGAGAGAGAGGTTGAAGGGTCAATACAAGTCAATTTAGGGTTTAGAATGGACCATCGACAGAGGATCTGTTTGGGAGATTCGGAAAAGAAACGAAATGAAATGGACTGGAAAAAAAAACTGAATCTCAACGGCTATGAGGATATAATGTTAGAGAGAGAGAGAGAGAGAGAGGTATTGCCTTCATGATTTGCCAGGTAATTGCCAACGATTTGTGATTTGGAATGCGATGCTCTTAATTTCAATAGGGAGAATGACGCTTTGTCCCTTAAAAAATCTTTAACTTCCACGAATAACCCAAAAATTGCTCAACCGGTAAGAGACGAGCTATAAATTCAAACGTTTTAAGTTTAAATTTTGATAATTTTTTGGGTCAGGCCATGAGGGATTTATCCCTCATAATATCCTAATTCTGGTGTGGATGACATTTGACTGAATCGATGAGAAAATTAATTGACATGCGCATAAATTTTTTTGAATACTTCTGACCATTGAACAAAAAATAATAATAATAATAACTCACATGAATATGTTGAACTCAATTTAACAATTTTGTTAAAATGTTTTGCTACTTTTTTATTTAATCGAGGGTGGAATATAGATATTTTAATTTTTTATAGTGTAAATTGAGAATTTAAAAATATTTTTTGGTACAAAGTGTGATTTGTTCATTTCAATATCTGTCCAATTTTAAACTTTTCACTTTTGCTCCTTTAAAAAGATTCAATATGTACTTTAGTGCACACTAAATTTATCTATATTGCATTAATGTGCCCGTTTCTATTATAATTTGGAGCATAAGCTATAAAAAAAATTACATTTCTCTCATCTAAATTATGTTAGTAAACTCCCCTCAAACTCTCATCTTATAAGATTCAACCCCATTAGACCCAATTCTATGTTCCATTGGCTTCTTAACTTGCAATTGGAACGTATGAAACTAAATTATCATTGAGGTGCATGAAGGCATGTGAACGAATCGGTCGAATTTCATCAAAAATTTGAACGTAAAATTACCGTCGTACCTGATTTAGATATCCAATGATCCAAATTTTCACGGTTTCATCCGAACTTGGAATTTCAAAAAATTGATCTCACACTTATAAATTTTAGTGAACTAGATATTTGAATTTAGTTCGATTTCATAAGCTAATCATTCAATTTCTTCATATGTCTATACACATACCTAATTGGAAATTGAATAATAGTGTATCCAAATTTGAATTTGTGAACATTTTTTTTTTGTTTTTTGGTTTCAATGATTAGGGTTTCTGGACCAATTTATATGTATCTTGATTAATTCATTCATCGATTCAGTCAAAGACAGACGATCTACATCGAATTTGTCAATATATGACATAACAAATTGGCACATTTTCAAACTTGACAACAAGAAGGCCGGCTGAAATATTAACCAAGCGATCAATTCATTTTGGGGTTTTTATAGTTCTTTTCCTTGTACTATATATGCATATCCTTTTTCTTGTCCATTTTCTACATGCTTTACTAGTTCATAGGTTGTGACTCTTTCCAAGTGGAGATCAGATTCTTCGCTGCCGAAGCATTGAGCAACATGCTACCTTAGCTGTTGCAACCCCAATGTCGCCACTTTGTAGTTCTCATTTTGGTCGGTAACCGACAATATGAAGTCATATAACAGTGATATTACGTTAATATTATTATGTAGTATTATTATTTAATAATACATTAACAAATAAATAAATAGATTCTATACAATTCAATAACTACCCTTTTCGGTAAAATAATAACCCTTTATGTAAGATTATAAATACCTATATTTAAAAAAGTGAGATTTATCTTATCTATTTGATAGTTTATTATGAGATGATAATACCACGTAACAATATTGACGTGATATTACTATTACACTGAATATTCACTTGGTGGGTGGGGGGGGGGGGGGGGTTGATGTGGTGAATGGTAGAAAGGGTGGAGTTGTGATGGCTGAGTGCACATTATTAGATAAGTTTTTATGTTACATCTTTTTATATCAATTTAAAATTTTTAAATGAATTAGTGATTTATGGTCCGCCCGGTAGAAATGATGGAAAAATGAGAAGAAAAAAAATTGGAAGGAAATAACCCTTGAGGAAAGAAATAAATTTTTTCTCTTTTTTGTTTTGTATGATGAATTGAAAGTTGAAAGGAAAATTTTTTGTTGTTCGGTATTAAAAGAAACATGGAAGTAAAGAAAAGTGTATCAAACTTAAATTTACCATTCCTACCCCTCTACTAGGTGGAATTTTGTACACACAACTCAAATGAAAAAATTAATTATTTTCAACTCATCTCAAGCACACATGACCAACACAATATTTTAACTCTTATCTGCCACGTGGCAATATGGCCAACCTGGACAGAAATACATGTTATGTGTCTTGCTTGTTGAAGGTTGGGCCCACTTGTTGCAAAAGAAGAAAAGAGGTAAAATGGTAAAAGCCCATGCCATGCAAAAACAGTTGCTCCGCTCTCTCTTTTTTTCCGCCCCTGTTTGGGAGGAAAAGTATTGGTGGGGGAAAGGGAAAGACAATCCTCCCCAATCCCACTCCATCTTATTTTCCCCTCGTACCAAACGGTAGAAATTTTTTCTATCTATATTATGTTCCTCTCTTCATTTCATCCACTCTGTTTTCGTCTCTACCAAAAAGACTATTAGCGTGATATCAAAACTTATATAATTCATTAAGAAAAAAAATTAAATAAAAAATATATGGGAGGGAATTGGTGAAGGTTTAACTAGAATGTCTAATCTTAACTTTAAATGGTAACGTTAGTAATAACAGTGACAAACTGTAAATTCAAACGTTTTGAATTTAAGTTTTGATAATTCTTTAAAGTCAGGTCATGAGAAATATAATTTTTTCATAAATATTTTAATTCTAATATAGATGGTCTGTTTTTTATCAAATCAAAAAAAGAATTAACCGAGTTATATAAAAAAAACAAGAAAAAGCAAAAAAGAGAGTGTCTAATCTTTGAATAGGGGAATGTCTAAATCTTTGTGAAGGGAAAAAACGATGATGTCATTGATGTTGTATTCAATGAAGCCTTCTATGGTTATCGAGGAAATTACGCTTTAATTAAATAGAGAATAATTTGTCTTTTGCACCACAAGACCACGTTGAACATCATATAACGTGAGTATAGGTAAATTTATATCAAGCAATTTCTGTCATGTCAGAGCAGCCAGCAAGTTGGTTTTGTTGAATAACTTGAAGAATTGTAACTAATGCTAAGAATCAGATGCTAACGACACAAAGTAAGAAACTATCTTTATAAGAATTCACAAATAATATATCAAAAAATAAAAAATATATGAAAAAAGTGATACTCAATTCTCAAACTGATTTGCAATGCAAAATTAGAAATTAATGTTTGATATATAGTAACCCGACCTCTTCATTTATTCTTGTAAAAAAGTCGTCACTTTTATGTTTTTTTTTTTTTTTTTGTGTGTGTTTCAAATATATATGTAGATAGGTCATACTATATATTCGTTAAGGAGTATTGCTCCTCAGTTAGCTACAAAAAATCCCACTACATCTACGTCGGGGCCGAAAGTAAAGCCCCACTGTGTGCTCTGAGCGTGAAGAGTAGATTTAACCCCTAACAAGTTGTCGTAACTATGAAAACTCAAATTTAATTATTAAACGAAAAATTCATGTTCTTATCATTTGGACCAATCCCTCATTGGTATTTTTATCTTATCATAGATAATTCTGACCTTTTAAAATCATGTTAGGTTCAAGTCATGCCTACGAATTGTATCAAAAATTATTTTCCATAGTCAAAAACCATCTCTTAAATTAGGCTTCTCCATGTAATCATATCCATCAAGAAGTAAAAGGATGTCATATTTGCAAGCCTTCCCCAATCATGTACATTAAATAAATTGGTAAGACCCTAAGAAGGGGATTGAAACAAACTTAATTAGATGGTAGATTTAGATTTATTGTACTACTATTTACATTTCTAATTAATTTATTAATATTAAATTATTCATTATAAATTTAAGTAAAATCAACTATATTCTATTAAATTCTCAACTAATACGCAAGTGGACCATAATTACGTTCTAGAAAATCGATAGAAGTGGACCATAATTACTTTCCAGGAAAACGATAGAAAATTACAAAACATTTCTTGCCAATTACGTTTTGACTAGGAAACTTGAGTTCTTTGTGTATTTTTCAACAATTTCCACAACCATTAACCAATGGTTTTCCTTGATGTGCCTATGAAAGAGACACCCTTGTTCAACAATGGGTTTGTTCAACTTAAATTATTTATCCTAATCCTTAATTTCAACCATATTGATTTGACTATCATCTTTTTTTCCTCTTTGGCTACATTATTATTCTTATGTTATTAACTAATTATTGCAATTAGCTGACTTTTGGTTTGTCGTTTGCTGCGTGTAAAAAATATTTCACATTATTTTTCAATTTTTTAAAGTCTTATTTATATTTTTTTTGCTATAAGTTGTTTAGAATTGTACCAACTATTTTTTCGAACTCAACGTCTGATTACTGGAACTTGAGTTGGGTTAGAGCATATCTCTAAAGGGACAAGGACGGCTAACCCTTAAAGAATGTGAGAAAGAATTGAATCTATGACTTTTGAGTTATCAAAAATCATACCCAACAAATAAATCGCATTTAAGAATTTTTTTAAAGCCCAATATGGGGGCAGGTGTGGTTGGTTTTAATGGGCTATGGTATTATTCTTGGTCAACCAACAATCCTGTTGAAGGATAGTTTCTCTAGCTAATCTAGTAGTGGTGGATAAGTCTAAAATAGAAATCTTTGAAAATTCAACTACAATAACTAATAATTTATCCGCCGAAATTGTTAAAATGTCCAATCCCCTCCCTCCTAATTTGAGACGCAATTGATTTGATATGATTAAATTGGTAGTCAGTCTCATTTAGTACTAAGATTCTAAGACCCACTGCTAATTTATTGATAAGAGGAGGATAGAGATTAG